TAGAAAATACTGGTGCAAAGCATCTATTAAAGTCAGAGCACTAAAAAAAAAAACGAACATAAATTTTAGGAACATTGATACAATAGCAGGGAATTTATTCAATCCACAGAGTTCTTCACAAGATCCATAGGTTTGGATCAGATAGGGCTGGAGCATCTTTATTAATAAAAAATAGAATTATTTTAATCTAAAATTTCTCATCATTTCCACACAGTTCTGCTGAACACATGACATGGAATTTGGAGAGTGTGGAAAAAATGTTAAGATTTAATAATGTAACATATATTAAAGTGTCAGCTCTGATGTGCAGTTTCACGTATCCTACAGAGATCAGGTTCTTGGAAATTGGATACTTCATGTCTGGACAATACTTTTGTTAAATACAGCCTTTTTAGGCTGTGGCACAGTTTCTCTGAAGTTTATTGTCCCCAGATTGACTTAATCTGTCTGGAAACCTCAAGCAGAGTCATAAGATCTTTATTTTGTATGAAATCTTGAATGTGGGTGTGTGATCAAGTTGGTATATGCTTAATACTGGCCAATGTATTAAATAGTTTGTTGCAGTTCTAGTACTTAAATTGTAAGTAACTTGCCTCTGATAAAGAGAAACTCTGTGTAAAGTGGAAACAAGTTTCTTTTCCTATGATTTTTGTCCTTTTGAGGGAGGATATAACATCTAGTTCCTCTGAAATGAGTATAATCACTGCTATCTCCTTCTGACAAAGAAATACAAAAAACAAATCGTGCTTCCCAGAAAGTATTGATAGCCTGCCCAAGTTACCTGAAAATGCCTGTAATCTCAACCTTGTAACTGGACTAAAGATGTCATTAGAGGCCTGCAGTAAAAATAGTTGTGCAAGGCCTTTAATATGAAAATTAGCTTGAACTTTGTTCTGGTCCCATTTCCTGGCTTTATGTAACTTGCTATTATTATGTGTAAGTAATGGGGAGGAAAAATCCAACATATCCAAAAGTAAGGTCAACCACTGGACTCTGGACTGCTTGATGTAGTGTTTCCACAGATGGAAAAAATACTTCAGGGTTAAAGATTTGCCTTTGCAATCTTTAAATTGTATGCACCTAAAAAGAGCCTAAGGGCTTGCCTGGGTGATGCTTTTTGTTCATGTAGCTGTGACACTTCCACCAGGGCTCCTTCCATAGTCAACCAAGAAAAGTCATTCCATGAATTCATCCTTGGGAAGAGCTGAAATTGGTTTCTCTTCTCCTTAGATGGGTTTTTAACCCAAGTAATTTGGAGACCCTTGGAGATGTGTGAGTGGATCCTTGCGCACAAAAGACAAGCTTGTTTGACCTGAGAATGTTTGCACATCTCTTGCAATTAACCTGTGGACCCTCAGCAGCCACAGACATGACTCTGATGCAATCCAAGGTTTTTTATCTTCCCTGAGAGTAAGAAGAGCCCAGCTTTGATGAGCTGAAGTTAGCCCTTGTCAGTATCCTTTCTACTTCTCATCCACTCAGTCTTCTTCTATATGGTATTGGAAGTCAGGAACAATTTAAACAAAATAGCCAATTCCTCTGGGACATCTTGGTGAAAAACAAACCTCTGTGTGTGACCTAGATCCAGTGAAGTTTTGAATTATTTAGATTACGTCTTGCAGATGATGCAGGAAACTTGGGTTTGAGAGAATGTTAAGGTTGAATTAGGTAATGGTTTTTTCTTTAGAAAGTTTGATGTCTTGGGTCAGCTGAAGAGCTCTCACCATTGCTACTGACTTTTTGATCACATAAATATTCTTAATAGCTGATGGTAACCTTGGGAAATGACAGATCCTAGATGTTGTCCCTGATCAGTTTTTTCCCCCTCAGGCTGTTGTTTGGCTGATGCAGATCCAAAACAGCTGTACAGGTTGTGTGTGCAGCTGCCAAGGTTTGGGCCCTGTGCTGCCCAGTACCCTCCTGCCAAGCAGTGTCACCAGGGATGGATTTTAAAGTAAGAATTTTAATCCTGCTGCATTCAGTGGGAGTTAGGTGCACAAATACTTGCTTATAAATTGTACCAGGTAGGAAGGGAAGCTGCAGACAGAGCTTGGGGCTCTGGCTCACAGCGCTGCTCTCTGGAGATGCCATATGGCTCATGCTGCACCAGGATCTGTGGTGCTCCTGCAAGGCACACACTGCTGCAGCAGGGCACTTCACCCCGCCCTTTAAAAGTGACAGTGCTATCACCGTGTCAGTCAGCTGAAAGTGAGTAACATGAACTACTTATCTGATTTATTAGTGTGAGTTAGTGCAGCTAGTCCAGTGCTTCCAGCTGTAGGAAGAAGTTTGGGCAGGGACTTGCCCTGCTGCTGCCAGGAAGAGAAAACAGAAATGTGATAAAGCTCTGAAGCCTTGGAATTTGGAGTCTGGCTTTTGAGACTAACCTTTATATGAATCATAGCCATTTCTTGGTCTAGCAGCAGTGCCTTGGCAGGGAGATTTGCATGGAACTGCGAGCAGCTGTGTCTGCATTAACAACCTGCGTGCCTTACGGGGGGTTGGATACTGAGCAAACAGTTGATAGTAAGGACCTGCAATCCTCTTTGTATGTGTGCTGGAGGTTTTACTTCTGGCAAATTCCAGTCTTGTGCTGTAGACTGACACACGCTGGTGACTGGGGTTCACCTCTGGTTTAGTTTCAGGCCAGGGAAATCTGCTCTCAGATTGCCACATCATCTGAACCAAAGCTCAGTGACCACTACCACTCGGGAGATTTTGCTTTAAGAGTTTGTCTGTGATGTGATTAAAATGCAAATGTAGCCGGTGCCCAGGAGCTCCGAGCTGTGTTGTGTAACACAGCAATGTGTGCTGTTCGGCTGTCTAATTATAGCGTCAGATTCTGATTGTGGAGAGCTCGATATTCATCACTTAAAAGGGGGTGTGGGTGATGTTTGGGGGGCAGTAAAACTGAAATAATGCAACGAGCTGAGGCAGCAGCACGAGTGCCAGAGCAGGAGGGGTGCCTCCCTCGCAGGCTGTCTGTAGCCTGGCACCCGTGGCTCCTGCTGGCACCGGGCATCGCAGGAAATGGAGCTGTGTTGCATAAAGGGGAGCGACGGCTGTGAGTCAGGGCTGCAAGGGAGAGGCATTCTTGCAGGGAACGAAATGTCAGCCTTCGAATGGCAGGGTTCTGGGCAGGGCTGTGCTGTGCCCTGTAGGATCAAACAGGAGTCTGACTAGGGCAGAAACAAAACTGCTTTCTGCTCGTCTTTCTGAGCTTTTTCTCATTCATGTCTCTGGTTTTCCTGTGGTGAAAAAAGCTTTGGGTTGTTCTAGACATGAATTGTGATACTCCTCCTTACCCAGGAGATGCAGATTATCCGTGGACTGAACCAAGCTGGCAGGAGTTCTGCCACTGGATTGAAAAGTGCAGCTTCTCTATCTGATACTTCTTCCAGCTCAGGCTCTCCTGGGCACAATCAGCTTTATGGCTGTTGACACTGACACATTGAACCCTTCTGTGGACAACGATCTCTTGGAGCAAAAGGACGAGGTAGAGCCCTCATGCCTGCTGGCAGGGACCTGGTTCTGGCTGCCTGACGCCAGCTGTGTCTGGGGGAGAGCGCTGAGCCAAGTCCAAAGTGCTAAGAGGCTGCAGAAGGTGCTTTTCTGCATCTCTGTGCACATGCGCCCCCAGAAGTGGGGTCTGTGTTTGTGAGCCTGTGACAGCTCCAGCTGCACCCAGGCAGGGTCTGTGTGCCAGGTCAGCTTTGCTCATGCTTCCCTGCTGTCTCCCTAGGAATCTGCTATTTATGTAGCACAGAGCTCCACAGGCCTGTGGCATTCTCTGCGTGGGTACAGGGAACAGCTGCAGGGCACAGGGCCTGATTCGCACTAGGATGCTGTGGTGTGGTGTAACTTCCCCAGAAGCAGCTCTCCACACAGAAAGATTTCTTCTGGCTGGTCTCCAAGGGTACTGAAGCAGTTACTGACCCCCATGGAGACAGGGCTGTGCTTTAGGGCACCTCTGCTTCCATCTAAGGTGGCAGGAAAACTTGCTCTTTTTTCTGTGTCTCCAGATATGAAGTCTGGGGATTGGCAGTGCTTTGTCCCAGCTCTCATCCAGCTTGGGCATGGCAGGGAGCTCTCAGGGAGGGGTTCAGAGCACAACTGTGGCCTTGGAAACCAGGCTGCCCACACTAAATGGGGGTGGGGGGTTAGGGATCAAGGCCAGGCTCTGCCAGCCATGCTGCCAGGACACTTCTCCAGCATCATGGTTCCTCCAGGGCTGGTATCCCTGAGGCCTTGTTCCCATCCCAGCCCCACAAAAGGCAGTTGCTGCTGCAGGAGCAGGGTGACAGGGGGAGCAGAGGGGGTACAAAGCAGCCATTTCCCTGAGAATGAGATATCCCCACCTAGGTGTCTGTCATTATACTTATCTGAGCAGGGGCTGGCAATGGCTAGCAGCACTGAATTTGGGGCTGGTAAGGGAATGAGCATTGCTTTTTTGGGTGTTGGTTTCTTTTCTGCCCCTCATGTGTTGTGGTATGAAACGGTGTGGCGCAGGGTCAGCTTGTCAGTGGTATGGCTGGGGAATGAGGTTCAAAGCTGCTCTCGTCTGTCTCCTCTCATGAGAGAGTGATCAGCACCAATGAAACCGCTGGCAATCTCTGCTTTCCAGATGGGAATGCCTGTGCCTGGCTGAGATCTGGGATCAGCCCCTTTTCTAGAACTAAAAGGGTTGCCAGTCTTGTGATGTGAAGTCTAGAAATTGTGGCATGAAGGGCTTCCTGGAAGGGAGTATGATGGGGAGGGATTTCCTGACTCCCTGGGGAAAAATTCATCTTAAATCCCTGGTAAAAGATCCTGAATAATTGAATAGGACCTCGATTAAGGACTGGATTACAGCTCTGACAGTGGTTCTGGTTTGCCATGGTGGAGTGTTGGTGCTTGCTCAACATAAAGTAGTGGTTATCACCTGAGAATGGTAATCACAAAACTGAATTGTAACCCCTGTGTTTGACTTTGGACTGTTGTGTGTGTTTGCTTTTGTTAAGGCAAGGTGAGGAGCTGTGCCCAAGGGAGTGGCAAGCCATGGAGAAAGGCTGTTCCATCCCTGCAGCACCCAGGATCCTTGTCCAAGACTGAGGTCCCTAAAGAAACATTCCACTGCCTGCTGCAAAACAGCACAAACCAGTTTGGGAGCTTTGCCTGGGGGGTGAGGGAGGCAGAAGGACCATGATAGTGCAATTTCCTGAGCTCTGCAGCACTGCAGGGCAAAAGGAAACATTCTGGTTTTGGTGACATAATGTCATGGTACAGAGACGACTCCCCTGTCCTGTGCCACACTGTTGTGAAGCATTTTGCAGTTATTTGCTTCATGTGGGTTTTGCAGAACAGGGTGGTTGGTGCTTACCAGATTGATACCTGCTGCCTGCCTCTGGCCCAGCAATCTTTGTCCTGCCAAGTCACACCTGGTTGATGCCAGCCTTGCTCGGTGTCCTTCCTGCCACTGTTTCCCTTCCTGATCAGCTCATGACAGGAGCGGAGGGGACCCGTGCCCAGGCTCGGGGATTGTCACCTGGGGACCGCATGGCTTTACAGCTCAGCATTTATTTCCTTAACATGCTATCCCCTGACAGTCCCAGGGGAGCCCTAAAAACTGACATCAGAGACTTGGACTGGTGAGTTTTCTTTCCCAGGGAAAAGATCGGGAGATTGTGCTCAAGGTCTGGTAGCTCTGAGCGGGTAGCTGACTGTAAAAAATCGGAACATCGAAGGATAAGTCCCAGATAGGAGCTGCCCCCACCTCATACTTGTGTTGTCCTGACAGTCCCAGGGGAGCCCTACAAACTGACATCAGGAACCTGGACTTGTGAGTTTTCTTTCCCAGGGAAAAGAACCGATGTTTTTGCACAGGGTCCTGTGGCCCTGAGCGGGCAGCTGACTGCAAAAAATCAGAACATCTAAGGATGTGTCTCGGACCAGGGCTGCCCCCACCTCATACTTGTGCTGCCCTGAGAGTCCCAGGGGAGCCCTACAAACTGACATCAGGGCCGGGGGGATTTAAACTGCGGGAGGGCCGGGCAGAGCCATTTGCTGCTCGGCGCTCGGAGCTGGAGGTTGCGGCCGGCCGGGCCCCTTTATCTCTTTTTCTCTATATTTCTTTTCTTGTGTGTTTCTTTTTTTTTTTTGTTTTTCTTTTTCTCTATACCTCTCCTGTCTACCCTCCCTTCCTCCCCTCTCCCCCCCCCTACCTCTCCCCCCTAGCCCTCCCCTCTCTCCCTCCCAGGCGGTGCCCCCTACACCCCTTTCCCTTTCCTCCCTCTCTATTCCCCTACTCACTCCTACCCTGTTCCTCCATCCTGTCCCTCTTCCTTCCCTCCCCAGCCGGGCTCCCCCGCGCCCCCTTTCCCTGCTCCCATTTTCCCACCCCCCCCCCCGCCCACCCCGGTTCCTCCTATCTGCAGCTGGGCAAAGGTAGAAGTGGGGGGAGTGCTTACAGGGAAGTGGCTGCTGTGGGGCTGTTGGAGTTGTCAACTTCGATCATGGGACGTACTGTATGTCAAAGTTCCCATCAGTGCTGTTTTATCTGGATCAGCCCATCAGCTGCAGGTGGGCTCAGGGAAGATGCCAACACACTGCTCCTGTTCATATGAGAGGCTGGAAGTCCCATCTGAGGCCAACACTCCCTCTGCAGTACCTGGAGAGAGGCAGCCTCTGCCCCAAAAAGTCTGGTCACCTCTGGCTGATTCCCAATGTTTTTGAATCTTGTCACTTTAGCAGAAGCTTTAGCTTGAGTATGCTCCAATCCTTCCCTCTTTTCTCTGGAACTTGCAGTCGGGGTCCTGTTGAGGTGCTGCAGACAAGGCTTAGGGTTTAGGGGATGAGGTGTAGAGCTGTGGGTGCATAAATAGTGCTGGCAGCCAAGTCCTGGGGAGATTACGAAGGAGGGATCTGGGATTCCCAGGCCATGAGGTGCTTGGCCATGGTGTCCAAGTGGGGTGGAGACAGCATTCTGCCAAAGAGGCGACGGGCAGTCCTGTGGGTGAGCACACAGGGCAGGAGCTCGCTTGAGGTGGGTGGTGCAGGGACGTGAGGATGTCAGCAGTGCTTGAGGCTGCTTCTGCTGGGTGCAGGAACCCTAATAAAGTGATGGTTTGTCAGCATGTGCCTGTGAGCGGACTTAGACTGGAAGGGGACGGAGAGGGGCTGTGTGGAAGGTGATCCTCTAGAGAAACAAAGCTGTGTCCAGGTTTATGGGTATTTGGGGGGAAGCTGCCTTCAGCAAATTCAGATTTTACTGATGGTTTGTGAGGGCTATGAGATAATAAAGCAACAGGATCTTGGCATGCATGAAGGACAGGGTCTAAGTCCAGGATGTTTTTTATCTTGGGGATATGCTGACACCTGAACTACCGCAGTAGTTTGGCTTTTCCACAATGAAGGGTATGTGGACTTTTATGGGGAGAGGAAGACCAGAGGGCTGTCAGGTTTTGGAGGGGATGGAAATGTTCCTGGGGGGAAACACAGCAGCTGAGAGCACATGGCTGTGTAAGTGGTGCCCCAGCCTCGGCTGCATTCCTGAATGCACTTTTCCCATCACTGTGGTGGCACTCTGCCCCCTGGCTGTGAGCCCAAAATGCCTGGAGAGCAGCACAAAGGAGAACTGGCACAGCATGGGCTGGAGGGATCAGTGTGCAAGTGTACAGAGCTCCATCACTGAGGGTAACAGGGGTCTGTGGGCTGCTCACTGCCCAGGGCTGGGCACAGCAGTGCCCAGGGGGTGGCTGTGCTCTCATCTGTGGCCTCTGGTTCCTTCAGCCAGGTCAGCTGTGCTGGCTGTGTCTTGCATCTGGGCCTGGTCCCTTCCACCCCAAAAGAACCGCCACAGAGCAATTTCCATCTAGGATGTTAAAAAACTCCCTTGCTTTCAGCAGACAGAAAAGGGCTTGGCTATCTTTTTGGGGAGATTATGTGCTCAGAGAGCTGAGAGGAAATGCAGTAGCTTGAAAAACATGTGGGGCTTTTGAGCTGTGCTGTAGGAACACGTGTCCCTGGGTTTATTGAGGATCAGTATTAGATCACCAGTGATGTCCGATTGCTATGCAAAAACTTGCTGTGTCCCATTTGGACTGAGCTCTAGTTCTTGCTGCAGCGCAAGGGAGAGCACAGAAACAAGTTGAGAATATCATGGCTTAACCTGAAACTCTTCCAATACAAAGGCTCCTAAGCCACAGGGATGCTTGGGCAGCAAGCCCTTAAGAAAGGGAAACAGGATGGATAATGAAAAGCTGGGTCTTAAGCTTTCTCGCTGTTACTTTCCCTGCTTATTCAAGTGACTTTCTGGATAAAGCAGCTGTTTCATAGGAATTTGGACAAGGATTAAGGAAAGCTTTCTAACTGATACCACCTCCTAGAAGTTGTAAGGATGTACTTAGAGCATAAGTAAGGGAAAATAGTTGTAGCTTTAAAAAAAGCATCTTAAGCAGTGAGTGGAGGAGAAACTCATCCATCTGGGAAGGCACAACAGGGCCTTGGTGAGATCTTTGCCATGTTAGGAAGCTGCAGATGTCTTGAGAGCAACCCTGTGAGCATGTAAGAAGCTACTCATAGGGTGGTTGCAGTAGAAGGGTGTCACCTCCTGTCCCTGAATCTGAGAGCTTTTGGGAGAGAATCAGCCTAGCCTTTTTTGTGGTGCATTGAAGAATCTTCATCTGCTGAAATGCAGGGGCTGGTATCTGCATTATTCTTTCTCCATTACTGGCAAACCTTGGGTTAGAGTGACTGACAAAGCTCCCGTGCAGCTCTCCTGAACCAACAGCTGCTGCACCAATATATGAACAAGCAGAGCACTAATCTCTGGAGACTTCAAGTAGCTTTTGTATGATAGGGAACAGAGGGACAGTAGAACTAGTAATGGTGTAGAGCCCTTGTGCAGCAGTAGAAGTTTTCAAGTCCTGAAAACAGAACAATTTGACAATAATTATATTGTAACCCTTTTGCTGCTGACCTGTCAGCACCAAGGGACAGATAAGCAAGTTACACACAGGTCTCTCAATTTAGACCTCAACAGAGCCTGTTAGGGATTTAATTCAATCAGAAAACACAGCCTAAGCATTAGAGAAGACTTCACTTCAGAATTCAGTAGGGTTTATTCTACAAATCTTAGATCAATGCCAATGATACAAGTTTTATGAATTCTCATTAAAAATACAAGTCAGTATAAAGATTCCAATAGTAATATAATGCATAATGATTCAGTTTCAAAATTTAAGGAATGAATCTGTGTTTTGGACCATGCTACAGAAAAGGGGAACACAATGTAGAAAGAATATTTAGTTTACCTCCCTTTACTTGAGGAGGGGCCTGTGCCTTATTGCCACAATACCTGAAAAAGCAATATGAAGTGCATAGCAGCCTTGCCTGTACAGTCTCTAGGCAAAACTGTTCAATTTAGTATCATAGTCCTTCTCCCCCTAGTTCTGGTCATTAAGGTACATTTTGATAGCCTGATACCATTATAATAACTTAAAGCTATTGCAATACCATCCCCAAAACGGTTACAAATATCAGTCCTTGGAGCTGCAAAATGTTCTTGTGATGCACTGACACTTTTTCACCATGTTAAGTATTTTGCCCAGTCTTTCCAGGAACACTAAATTACATTCAAAGGTAAATTAGTTCCATATTCAAAACTCTCCTAGGATTTAAATGAAGTCTCAGTGCAGTCTAATATTTAAATGTGTTGTTCATAGCTTCAGGCACAGTTAGAATGTAAATCTGACCTGTTTTCTTGACCCTAGCCCTCTGATATGATGAAAGGTGTGCTAGTTTTCAAGGAACAGCTGGAATTTGGCCCCAGAATGCAAGGCCAAATGCTTTGGATCGGGGGAGAATAAAACTACCTTTTTTCTGGGAGCTGCCTGCACTTAGAAGGGGATTTGGCTTCATAAAGCCACACCCTAAGCCTAAAGTTTGGAGAAAGTTTAGGTCTCACAAGAGGTAACTCTTGACAAGATGTGCACCTCATCCCCCAAATGCTGTAGTACATCTGTTTATTCCCAGTCACATTTTCACCCTGCCAAGACCAGTGGGCATCTCTGGTTGAGCCCAGTCATTTCTTGTAGCAGAACCACACGGATGGCGCAGAGCAGGGATCATGCATGGATCTGCAGCAGCAGACAGGGAACGAGGCTGAACAATATGCACACAGCTCTGAACAGGACTTTGGTGCAGGCAGTGATGCTTAACTGAAACTCAGCTTTTACCAAAATATTATAGCATAATACAGAAATCTGAAAGAAAAGGGTCAAAAGAAGCCGCTGACTTCCACGCACCAGTTAAAGAAAAAACCCCTCTTGCATAAACAGAGCAGCAGCACAGAACAAGCACCCACTTGGCTACACCAATACATCTTTTTTGCTGTAGGAATTTTCAAAAATTATCTACCCAACATCATACTACCATGTTTTAGCATCATACCAAAATGTAGTATTAAGCCATCATGCAGGTTTGGGGAATTTCTTCTGCTGTACTGAACACTGCTGTGCTTGCTTGGAATACATATAGTCAGTCTGATTTGTCTTTGTAGTAGATGCATCTTTAACAGTCACATTTAATCTGAAGTAAAAAAAAGTTCAGTAGCCCATACTGGGCTGTTGTCCACTCAAAGTGACAAAAAATACAAGGTTGTCATTA